ACGGTTTACCCTCAGGGTCAAGCGAGGCGTCGAGGAAAATTTGGAAATACGACCCCCCCCCCTCCCTCCCCCGCCAGAGGCCGAAGTCCATGAAACGACCCTCTTCAAAAGCCGAACTATGAAAACGTTGTTTAATTCTCCCCCAAAACTGTTCATAAAAAAGCCCTGCTACCCCACCGTTCACGGAAAAATTCGTTTAAGAAGTACAAAAGTGAAAAAGTCAAAGAATAGTCATTATTGATGAGTCCTATCAAACGAGCAAACGAGAAACGGAGCAAAAAACGTCAAACTAGCCACTAAAAATGGCATACTATGACAACATCTCTTCGTTATTTATTTCCTTCGCAAGACTTATCAAATTTTCGTACTACACAGTGTATCTCGTCATCACCCTCCCTTCAGATAAGAAGCTCGCACCCGCCCTTATCCACTGTGCGCTGATCTTTGGCGTTGACCGTGGAGCAGCTTATCCACTATTGAAATTTGAACAAATATTCAAACGATTATAACTTCTTCAAATATGACGAATTTTCAATCTGAAAGCAGATTTGGAAGTTTTGTAAAGAGCTCTTTCTAATCGTACTGAAATTACAAAAATTTATGAGAAATAACAAATTTAGATCAATTAACGAGGAAAATTATGTGAGCACGAGTTTTTACACTTTCCGAAGCCATAACTTGCTTCATTTTCGTCAAATCCGAAAAGTTAATACGTCAGACAAAACTAGAAGATTTTCTCTATCAAATGGTTACTAGCAGCTATACGTCCAGTATTAAAAAATGGCCACGTTGAGGATTTTTGCCCGAGTACCGCCGAAAGGTACTTTTTCGCTACATTAGCACTATTCCAACGACTATAGCTCCTTTCAGGAGCGATTACATACTGAAGTAGGAGCAGATTCGAAATCCTCGTGCTTTTCTCTTGCAAAAAGTGTAAAACTGTTTAGCGTGTCTCAACTTTGACGATTACATGCTTGTGAATTTGACGCTTAAGGCTACGTTTCTTGTTGAATGGTGTTCTCCTCCCTGTAATTTCACATGAACCCTTTCAGAATCCTCGTGTTCTATCCTAAATTGAGATTGTTTCTCCAGAGAGCCGTAGCTGAAGCGCGTGCAACCAGCTGGACCCACTCTGGGATGCGCCGTGTGCTTCACATCCCTTCGGGTTTGAGGACTCACTTGAAAGAAAATATCCCTTGGAAAAAGTGCGATTTTCGGATTCTTAAACTTGTGTGGTGATAAAACACTGAAGTAACCAAGAATTCCAAAGCGGACCACCTCTAAATCACGAAGATTTTGTGTCAAATCAATTGTTATTGGAAATACTCTCGGCCTGGTATCGATTCGATCCTTAATGTTTGTCCTCCGACGATGATCCTACTGTATCAATCGGGCCCGATCTCTCCCCAGCGGCCAATACGACCCCCCCCCTCTGTGACATGTCGAGGATTCCTCAACGCACGCTTGACCCTGGTTCCCCTAGACGATCCTCGCGATTCACGACAATTCTAAAGCTTCATGTGCACGTAAACGACAACAGGGCGAATTCCTTGAAATGAACATCGGAACAATTGAAGCATTTTCAGAAAGTAAACTCAATTTGAGTTTTTTTTTCAATTTTGTAGTCGCTCTCGTGGGAACGCTAATAAGAAAAGATATTAGTTAGCTTCTCGAATGGAATACGTCGTTAACTGCACGGTAGTTTTAACTCATGAAAATAATGAAAAGTTAAAGAAACGTGGTAGATTTTTGGAACCAGAGTTTTTCGCTAGTCAAACGCCACCATTTATGCAAAATGGTGAATGGAATTTCGAGCACCTCGATTCCCTCTAAGCGAGGCAAAGCGGGTGACGTAACTTTCCACTGTCCACCACCTTCATTTCGATACGGCCCATACTCCTGTATGGTATAAACTTCATGTAAAGAAAGCACCAAAGCTTCATCTCAAGAAGCTCGTCTTGAATGTCCATGGGAAGCGGGGCGGGGATCGTGAAATTTGAAATCGACACAACAGGCGCTTAACCCTGATTGGGAGACGGCTTGCATGTCAGAGCTAATGTCTCTAGGAAACTGTCCAACAGCGAATCGATTCAAGAAATTATGTAAAGGCCTCGGGCTGGAGTAGTTACTGTAGACCCTTCCTAGCTAACCAGTATGGCGGAAGACGTAATTTTCTAAAGCCGGTGAGGGCAGCGGAGGAGGGTTTGCTTTTACCCATGGGGGGGGGGGAGATTTCAGAAATATTTTCTGAAAGAATTCCATCAACAGCGGCACCCTTTGCGACAATGTTTGCTGTGCATGGGGATTCACATGCTCGAAGAGTATAGAATGATCGTTTTGGTTGATCAATGATCAATATTAATGACTGAAAAAAATGATATTTGATCACATACAATATTCAGTGTGTAGTGTGTCTCCTTCCTTGCCACTCGAATCGTGCCCTAACTTAACACAACGACACATTTCACGACAATACCAACATAAGCTGTGGTCTCTTTGTGTCGGTCTTAGTAGGCATTCTGAGGTGTAGGCGCCCTTGAAAGATTACCAACGTATGTTCATAGTCCGTTACTGAGCGCAGAGTGCAACGCGTTATATGCTACCAACACAATGCAGTATGTTCGCGATGGGTGCAGGTCAATCACCGTAGGTATTCCCATGAGGGACTTTTACCTGGAAGTCGGCTGTTGTACCGCCGTTCAAAAATGACATATACCAATTATATACGAGCTCGGACGCTGAATTTGCAACCTTAGCTTTCTCATTTGGAATTTATCTCCTGAAAGAAGGTGAAAACGAAGCTATAGGCGGTAATGATCTACCTCAGACAAATGGCCCGTTAGTCGACTCCAGTGCGAGTCTGTTGCCTCAAAGTTTATAGAATATTAGGTACCGGATATCTTAGTGTCGTTTTTTCACCGCGAGTTTCGGACCACCAATATTTTAATTCAAAATCCAGTGAGTGAAACGGCATATCCATCGAATGACTCATTAGCCCTTTCCCATTTACCAGTATGAGTGAAAACCTCGTACGATTAAAGTTAGGAATTTTTTGAGACGAAAAAGAGAGGTAGGTCGAATTTGACATCATCTGACAAATCATCCCTCTACCTTGCTAAACAGTTGGGCCTGGACAAAATATGTATACATTTAGTTAGAGTAGGGTCTGCACTGTTTGGTGGAAAATTTATTACTTACCAGCTCAACTGGACAATTTTTCCCGGAGTCTTTTTTGCCACATGGGGTCAAAAACGCACCCTTTTTGAGCACACGTGAGTAGCAGATGAGCACATTTATTAGAATTTCTTGGTCAATCAACTTCGTTAGAGCGTCTGTGCACCATCGATCAGTAACTGCTAGGGTGTCCTACCATTCCAGCACAAGACTGGTGCAGCCCCGTTTTGACTGATTTAGCTAGGACCACCTTTTTGGCGACGGTTGCGGGCATCCCTTCAAAGACTTTACTGTCTTTTAAGAAAACTGTGAAAAACCGATGAGCATTTTAAATGGTAGTATTCCCTCCATCAAATGCAATGCTGGTTTGGTGGGCGGAGGTTACAGCTCTCAGCAAGAATTTTGATGCATTTGGTACACACATGCGAATTTGCACACTGGACCCAGGAATTTTCAGAAGAAAGTATAAAAATTGGGGGAAAGTTAAATTGTGAACCAACAATAGAAGACGGTAAGCAACATATTTCGCAATATTAATGAGCAAAAACTGCCTTCTGGGATATTGATTTTCCATAGTAATCGGCCCCAAAACTTCCTGAACTCAGAAAAGCGACACTAAGATATCCGGTACCTAATATCGTTAATGCCTTACAGTAACATTCTTAAAAGAGCAAAAGACCGTTTGCAACTGGCCTCGATCACACATCTCTCTCCAGTGTTAGGGTGCAGTACGCTGCGCTTTCTGCTCTCATAAACTTAAAATCGTTTTTGCAGATAAAGAAGATTTTAAATCAGCGTCTCGAGCGTCTCTATGCAATTTTCGCGGTTTCAGTGTGGAAATAGCACTTATTTTTTATAGGAAAATTTTCGCGGAAAAGTTTTCAAAGATTTTTCAATGCATATACCCTCCCCCCATGTCGATAGATGTTTTAGAAAATGCGACTACTGGGGCTACCGTCACAGTGGTTGACCACGGAAATCTTTATTTTGAATACTGGAAAATCTGAACCTGTGTATCCTCGAAGATTTTCTCCACTTATTAAAAATAATTCAAGTATCCGAATGGCCGCGACGATGACCAGCCATGCGATATCTATTGGTATAGTGTAGTTCCAACGGACATGAGGAGCATTGTGAAGTCACCTCGTTGTCGAGTAAACAAATTCCCAGGTACGTTAATGCTGAATGCAGGCTGACCCTGAAAATAGCCCTTGATACCACCTGGCACTTGAGCCAGCTTAGTCAAAGCGCTGGTGACGCTTTAATGACTGCTACCGCTATTATTAGACAAATGACGTAACTGGACAAAATTGCAGGAATGACGGACCTTTCGAAGAAAGTCTCACTTACACATGCAATCGACTCAATGCGAAAAATTTTCCCAGATGATTATAAATTCTATCCGCCATCGTACTTTCTTCCGGCACATTTCGATCAATTCAAAGTGAGTTTTTGATTTTTTTTAGCTGTAGTGATCAAAAATTTGAATACACAACGTGCTCGGCGATTTTTACATAGTGTTCTCGAGAAATCCCCGTATTTTTATCAGATTCATTTATGGGTATTAAAAATGGTCCTTTTCATGTTTTTTTGTGGATCTAAATAAGCAGACTCAGGATCAATGAGGTGGGTCAAGCATGCCGTGGAAGGAAATATCTACAAATGACGTACCTGCCCCCCCCCCACCCCTATCAAAGTCATTCACTATGTATTTAACTAATTGTGTACCGCGTTATTCATATGGTGCACAATCTTTTTTTTCCTTTTTATCGCCTTCGACATAGTTTCGTGCCCTAATTTTGTAACACTATTTTATGTTTTGGAGTCCACGATCAGCAAATAATGTGGGAATGTGGCAGGTATAAAAAAGTCACATCATCGATTTTTTTCTGCGAAGCCCCTTAGTTGCAGTCTTCTTATTTATTTGCCAGTGTGCAGAGAAAATGTAAGAATGATGACTGCGAACTCTTGAAATAGATAAAAGGATAAAGGATAAAGCATTTGCCGTTGATCAATCCCTTTTTGGGATGCGGCACGCATTCTACTTCCATTTGTACATTCGTAGTGGCGTTTGAATGCGATGTGGCCTATACAATGACTTGCGGGGGCCAGCCGATGTACAAGTCAGTGTTTTTATCCTCCCAGACAAGTCTGGTACCAATTAACCGACCCCGGAGGGATGGAAGGCTTGGTTGGCCCGGGCGACTCACGACCCAGGATTTGATCCCCGGACCGCTCGCGTGGTAAGCGTGCCACTTGCCACTACACCACTTCGCCCAGGTGGAAAATGGTGAGCTTCAACATCGTAATCTACCACAAGTTTGCTAAGCCTTATAAATTGACTTCTTCGAAACAAACCGCAGAAGGAAGGGAGGTGGGAATGTGCAATTTTACGCGCTTCATTTCCTACGTGTTTGTACAACAAACGAATCACAGTACAATAACTAGCTACGTAAACGTGGGAATAACCGGGTCTCCTGACCGACTTGCACGTAGTTTTGTTGATACTGGATTGCACAACACACACATTTGGTTCATGGTGGACTATTAAAACTTCACTTCCTACAGAAGGACATGTGGTGTTGCCTGGGCAACGGTTTGCAGTCGAGCGTATTGGAATCAAATGAATTTGAAACAACTACCTCAAGTAGCTATCCATAATTACAACAGAATTTGATGGATTGTTTCAGGAGTTCTGGCATACTGAGCTGTCACGTCGACGTCGAAATGGTCAACAGGGTGATCTCTGTTTCATCGTGAAACCAGATGATGGTAATACTTTTCTCAACACATTTTACGAAGAAAATAAGTACATATAAGCGTGCGATATTTTTCGTAGAAATTTTTCTCTGTTCTGTCAAAAGCACGAAGTTGAAGCGCGGGTCTATGGTGGTGTGGGCACTTCCTCTTTTTTCTTCTTTGCGGCACCCTGCTGCGTTTCGAAGCACTACTCGATTTTAGGAGTCTTATTATTGGTGCAGAATTTTATATTACTTACTCCCCCCCCCCCCCCCATCCCCCATAAAATTTTGGGAATATCCCGAATATTTCGCATTTGTGAATGTTTCCAGATACCGTCTGGGACGGTAGAAATCTACCCTAAACTAACTGTTGAGAAAGACCACCGTACGCCCGTAACCGGGAAAGAACGTTGTTGAAGTTGGAGGGTAACCAGGTCTGAAACACGCAACTTCGCGACATCGTAAGCAAAACTTGTTCCTCCACGAACCGTACCGAGGCCGTGCGCACCTGAACCGCTATCGTTGCCACTACACCACAGAGCAGTAGGGCCCCTTCTGAAGGGTTGCTAATCACATTGGGATGGAGCATACTGTTTGCAGAAAGTTTACGCCGTGTGGTATCGATCTGCTTACCACGCTAATGACAGCATAAGTGGATGCCACTACACCACGTACGCATCCGTGTCACGAAGGCGAAGACTATAACCGCAAAAATGAGATCAAGAAAGTGGAAATCTTGAAATAGCCTTCCCCTCTAGCCGGAATCGATCTCTGGACCACACAACTACAAGGCTAGATCGTTGCCAGTGCACCACTGACCACTTCGCTGCATCCTTGAAAGATGTGTTAAGAACAGATAACCATCCGGTGGATGGGTTTCCATAGGTGTTGGTTCGCTAATTGACGGTGATCTCTTCTGCGGTTAGCAAGTGAGTGAAATGTAATGCTCGTGCTCTGCTTAATGTTCAAGTGTGCGACTCATAAGGTGCAGCAATTTTGGCATGTTTTTTCATCATTTACTTGAGTGTTGGCGTTCTGCATGTATCAGATCTCACCATGATCACTAGTTCATTTTCATTGTTATTTATTTTTCGATTTTTATTGGAATACGCCGATTCTACTTCATGGTGATGATTGGAAGACGACTCTTCATGATTACTATTTATTTCATGATCAATATTTCAAATGTTCATTCAAATGCTCATGATTCTATGGCCACATTCCCTGGCTCATGAGTTCCCTCCATCATGGCATTATTGCAGCGGGCAGCAACATTTGAAACTCAGAAAAAAATTAGTAGAATTATGAACATTTGGACATTTCAAATTTAGAACATAAAATAGGAAGATTCATGATCGTTCGTATGAACATTTGAAACCTAGAACATGAAAAAGTGGAGTCAAGAGCATTTTAACGTTGGGCACAAACAAGTGGAATCATGAACTATCGTCTTTCAATCTCCACTATGTAAAAGAATTGGCGTTTCCCAATGGTTAACAATCGAGAAATAAAAAACAATCCAAAAAGCCAAAAAGAAGCATCCGTACGGAAATGGAATGCACTCCTAAAAATAAACATCCGCGCAAATGACGGTCAGGTAACTTCGCTTAGCGACTGCGTAGCTGCCTAGATCCCCGTCCCGTGTCAGTTACGCCTTGGCAGGTCTACCACACGCTCACGTCGTACGCGCCCTCTCCAAAACTGTGGTCTCTCGTTTAATTTTTTACCTCGTCCACCCTATTTCGCATTCGACTTTATCCATCATCCAGTTTGATGTTGGCCAACGCCAAAAAGTCCGTAACGGGCATCACCTGCTTCTCTCCAAGACAACGATTTTCAATATCGCTGGGATAACGTGCACTTCCACGTCTCCTGACCGACTTGCACGTAGTTTTGTTGATACTGGATTGCACAACACACACATTTGGTTCATGGTGGACTATTAAAACTTCACTTCCTACAGAAGGACATGTGGTGTTGCCTGGGCAACGGTTTGCAGTCGAGCGTATTGGAATCAAATGAATTTGAAACAACTACCTCAAGTAGCTATCCATAATTACAACAGAATTTGATGGATTGTTTCAGGAGTTCTGGCATACTGAGCTGTCACGTCGACGTCGAAATGGTCAACAGGGTGATCTCTGTTTCATCGTGAAACCAGATGATGGTAATAGCTTTTCTCAACACATTTTACGAAGAAAATAAGTACATATAAGCGTGCGATATTTTTCGTAGAATTTTTTCTCTGTCAAAAGCACGAAGTTGAAGCGCGGGTCTATGGTGGTGTGGGCACTTCCTCTTTTTTCTTCTTTGCGGCACCCTGCTGCGTTTCGAAGCACTACTCGATTTTAGGAGTCTTATTATTGGTGCAGAATTTTATTATTACTTACTCCCCCCATCCCCCATAAAATTTTGGGAATATCCCGAATATTTCGCATTTGTGAATGTTTCCAGATACCGTCTGGGACGGTAGAAATCTACCCTAAACTAACTGTTGAGAAAGACCACCGTATGCCCGTAACCGGGAAAGAACGTTGTTGAAGTTGGAAGGTAACCAGGTCTGAAACACGCAACTTCGCGACATCGTAAGCAAAACTTGTTCCTCCACGAACCGTACCGAGGCCGTGCGCACCTGAACCGCTATCGTTGCCACTACACCACAGAGCAGTAGGGCCCCTTCTGAAGGGTTGCTAATCACATTGGGATGGAGCATACTGTTTGCAGAAAGTTTACGCCGTGTGGTATCGATCTGCTTACCACGCTAATGACAGCATAGAGTGGATGCA